GTTTGCTTTTTTTGTTTTGTTTTGTTAAGGGAGGTGAGTGGGAGGAGGGACAACTGAAAATATTAAACCACACAACATCATAAACTTGTCAAAATATTTAGAAAATTGACCTAACTTAGAAACCAGTTGCTTTGTCGAAGAGACTGAAAACATTAGACATTTGACAACCCCCCCCCTCCCTCCCCTCCAAAGACTGGTGACTTCAGGCGATTCCTAAAGAGGGGGACATTAATTATGTTCTAATGCACAGCAGAATTGTAAATTATTATAAATGGACTGATTCATAAATGTCATTCTCATTTGTCATTGCTTGAACTGCAACAGGAAACTGCTGCTTTTTCTTTCCTAAGCCTTACTATAGTCTTATTTCTCTCTACTTCTTTTGTGTGTTTCTCACACTCAAGTGACCTGCTATTTCCGGGTTGCCTTGATAGTCGAAGCAGACAACATGCTGTTGAAGCTAGAGGGGTGAGCAGAGTACGTCTGTTTCCCTCTAAGGACTTTTCAGTTGACATCCACCCCTTGGCGCTTATATGACCTTTTGCAGTTGCCAGCCCTGTGAAGCCTTCATCATCATCATTATTGCCTTTCTCACCCTGGGTCAGAATATAGGCCAGGAACAAAGACTTTCCACCTCTCCCTATCCTGGGCTATTCGCTTGATGTCACTCCATGTTTTCCCACTTTTCTGTACATTCATTTCCGTGACTCTTCTCCAGGTTCCACGTTGTCTTCCCCTTGATCGTTTACTCTGTGGGTTCCAATCTAACACCTTCCTTGTTATGCAGCTGCTTGACTTCCTGACAGTGTCCAATCCATCGCCAAGGCCTTCTTCCCACATCATCTCTGTCTGGACTCTGGCTCGTTCTTCTTAATACTTCCTCGTTGGTGATCTTTCCATCCATCTGATCCTTAGTAGCTTCCTCAGACACTTGTTTAAGAAAACTTGGATCCTCTTTACGCACGTCTGAGATGCGTTCCACATCTCACATACATATAACAAGATTGACTTCACATTTGAGTTGAAAATTTTAGGCTTTGTTCGTAGTGAGATATATCCTTGGTCCTCCAAATTCTATTCAAAGAAATAAATGCAGTCTGTGCCTTTCAAATGCTGGACTTGATTTCAGCGCCTGTTCCTCCCTCTCTGTCAATCATACTCCCGAGATAGCAGAAGGATTCGACGCTTCTAGTGCATTTCCCTCTACTGTGACCTGTTCTTTTCGTAATACATCTATCCTTAGGACTTTTGACTTTCCGGGGTGGATGCTCAATCCAACAGACTCTGATAGGCTGTTTAAAATTGTTGTCTTTGCTTGCATCTGTTCCTGAGTGTGTGACAGAAGCGCCAAGTCATCTGCAAAGTCCAGACCGTCCAACTGTGTCCATGGGGTCCACTGCATACCGTTTCTGTGTCCTCTTGAGGTTTCCTTCATCAGTCAGTCGATTGCCAAGATAAGAGGAAAGGTGGTAGTAAGCATCCCTGTCTCACACCGGTTTTGATGTCAAAGCTGTTTGTGAGCTGGCCATCATGTATAACCTTATAATGTGTCCCTTCGTTCATGCTCCCAATGAGGTTAACCAACTTCTGTGGGATTCCGTGATGTCTCAGTATCTTCCACAGTGTTGCTCAGTCTATGCTCTCAAAGGCTTCTCATAGTCAAGGAAGCTGACAATCCACTACAGGGACTGTTCCACAATGCTCCTCAGTGTAGCAACCTGGTCCGTGGTTGACCGGTTTTTCCGAAAACCTGCCGGTTCATCCCGAAGTCTTGGATCCGTTGCAGACTTGATTCTCTCCAGAATGATTCTGTTGAAAACCTTACCTGGTATTGAGAGAAGAGTGATTCCTCGGTAGTTGCTGCAGTTGCTGAGATCCCCCTTTTTAGGAAGTTTCACAAGGTGTCCTTCTTTCCAATCCTTAGGGAACTAGCTCTCATTCCAGATCCTGGTACACAATGGGAGAGGGGGATCTGCCGTCACATTGGCATTTGCTTTAAGGGCCTCGGGTGGAATCTGGTCTGGCCCGGCCGCTTCACCGTTGTTCAACTTCTTAATGGCATCCAGAATGTCTTGTTTCGATGGAGCATTACAGCAGATTGGTAACGCATTTGTTGCTGGCAGGATGTTTGGTGGGTTACTTGGTGGAGACTGTTGAAATGCTCTACCCATCGTCTTGACTGAGTTTCCTTTCCAAAAATGTTTTTCCCTCTAGGTCCTTTAATGGCACTTCTGATTTCCTATACTTTCCAGAAAGAGTCTTTGTAGTCTGGTAAAAGATTCGCATGATCCTTCCTGCTGCTGCCTCCTCTGCCAGCCTGTTAGTGAATTCCTCCTTGTCGTTTCTCAGTGACCTCTTTGCATCTTTACCTGTTGTCCTGTACTGCTCCAATGTGCCCGCTTTTGATCCCCTTGTCCTAATAGCTTTTGTCTCTGCTTTCGGTTGTTTTCTAAAGCTAATCAAACCCAATGACCGTTGGCTAATTCATTATCTTCTCACCGAGTATATCTTGACATGTTGAAGCAAAGACTTCTTTGACCTTGGTCCAATGCATCTCCACTTCCATGTGCTCCTCAACAAGATTCGCCAAGGGTTGAAACCTGCTCCTTAACTGCAGGTGAAATCCTCTTTCTTGTGTCCATCTAAAAGACTTACTTGGAACGTCATTCTTTTGGTTCCTGTTCTGGTTCCGTGCTTTTTGAGACGAAGCTTTAGTTTTGCTAACAGCAGATGATGATCCGATCCAATGCCTATTCCTCTCTGTACTGTGACATCTTCCAGTGAACGCTTGAACCTACGAGAGATACAAAGGTGATCTATCTGGTTCTCCGTCATTCCATCCGGTGATACACAAGTGGCCTTGTGAATCCTCTTGTGGGGAAAAACAGAGCCTCCGATGACAAAACTGTTGAAAGCACATGTGAATCGCTCACCGTTCTCATTCATTTGTCACAAGCCATTTTGTTCCATGATTCCCTCATAACCTACGTTGTCCTGACCAATCCTGGCATTGGCATATCCGATTATGATGTTGACATCCTTCCTTGATAGTTTGTCGATGACCCCCTGGAGCCGGCTGTAAAAAGCATCCTTGTCTTCCTCCGAAGCTTCATATGTTGGGTTGTAAATCTGTACTACGGTCATGTTGATGCTCTTATTCCTTGTAGTGAAAGAAGCCATGATTATCCTCACCTCCTGTGGTTCCCATCCTCTAAGTGACTTCTGTGCATACTTACTCAAAATAAGCCCAACTCCCTCCGCATGGTGCTTGTCTTCCCTCCCAGAATACAATATTTGTTCCCGCGAGCTGAGCTGCTTCTGTCCAGACTGTATCCAGTGGGTTTCGCTGACTCCTGGTATGTGCAGCCTGTATCTCTTCATCTCTTGTGCCACCAGAGAACTCTTTTCTGCTTCATACATTCAAACATTCCACGACGCAATCCGGAGAGACTTGTTCGACAGAGAAGGTTTCGGGTCAGAAGAGTCCTTTCGGTTTTGTCCGCTGTCCTTCATTGTTCCTGCTGATACAGAAGCTCCTCCGTCTCTCACGAAGGAAAAATTATAAGGCCAGTAAAACCTTACTAAAACTAAAAACTAAGAAATTTGACGACTTTGACAGAATGGTCAACATCCTAGTAGACTACGTAACCATTGAAGTTCTCGCCAACAAATCCACTATTTGGAGCTGATTAGAAAGAGGTCAAGCTTATTTAACGTTTACAAAATGCATTGTCTATACTTTCAGATATCACCCAACGATGAAGATGAAAATCTGCCTTATACGTGAGTATGCTAGGACTATACCAGTCTATAATGAGTATATTTTTGTCAATCATTTGGTAATCGACGGCGCTCTATGTTTAATGAAGATTCGGTAGAATGAAATTCTGGAGACTAAGAATGAGAAAAGAAGAGAGAGATTGAGATATTAAGAAAAGAAGACAGAAAGAGAGAGAGAGAGAGAGAGAGAGAGAGAGAGAGAGAGAGAGAGAGGGCGGATGGGGTGGAGTGGGTGTAGACCGAAACAGGAGAAGAAAGACAGCGGGAAATGAAAATATTCAAGTAAGATCAAAGCCTAACCTTTATATTTCCCAAATCGAGATCAGCTTGTCATTGCATAAAACCTGCATCTCCGGCGGAAGTCTTACGGATTTAGATGAGTTCAAATGAAACCAAAAAGTATCGATTCGAAATAACAAGTGTAAGAGATGATAAGATAAGATAAGAATGCATTGTTCATGTGGGACATTTTCTGAAGCTGTCCAGGAATGGTGAAAAGACATGTAGATATATTCGCAGAATTTAAATTGCATATTAGGCCAGGCCCCAACTTTCTTTCAATAAAGAATCTCCCGATGGAGGGAAAAATAAATCTGACAAATTTACAACATAATATTACATCAGACGCGTCTCTCAATAGCAATAAACCAACCACATGCAGGAATTTATCACAGATTTTGAAGGCCAACATAACGCTAACTTGAAAATGCGTTGGAAGACTCAGTCGCAAAAAAGTAACATAATATGTGAAGCGTGCTGACAAAATGAGTTACTTCTCGCGATCCACAAACGGATGTATTGACCAAAAGTCAACATTATAGGGTTCGATTAGTAGATTTTCTACTGATGCCACATTCTTTTTGTATAACGTGCCTTTTATTATTCCATACTTATACATTGTGAAAAGTTCATCCAATAGCGAGATTTATCTATTTCCATAAGGCTTGAATCCGAGA